AAGGTTTGGTGGAGGGGAGGGTGAAGCCGCAATGAGTAATATACGCTCGGGACAGACCTATATATATATATATATACATTTCGCTGCACACACGTCCTATGTATGTATTTGTTTATATATAATAACAATAACCGAAGGGGCAAACTGTGGCGTCGTAATTGGCGCGTCGCGACGCCACTGGCGCCAGCCGGTTTCCAAGGATACGCTATATGGTCTCGTCCGTCTGGTGGCGGTGGGGTGGAGGACTATGTTTTTCTTTCCGCCAAACGACGACGGTCCATATTCCGCTGTGCAACGACCCAAAGTCTGAACAACATAATGTTCGAGCATGGTTATATTATATATATATTATAATATATTTTTATTTTCTATTATTGGTTTTAAAACACTGCGTATACTTTTATGGCCTATTTGGTGCACACGAAATTTACAGAGTGATTCATAATCAACACGCAAGCCCCAAACATGGCGTATGGAAAAAAATCAGTTTTTTGAAAGTTGTTGAATAAGACCGTACCTACTATACATATTCAAATTCATTAGATTTTTTTGTGCTAGTACTATTGCCTACTTATAACTTTATAAGGAGTGTTCGTGTTGTGGTGAAACAAACTTCTGTTTTTTCAAATGGGAACCTGTTTTTTATTGCAAATTATCAAATGGATAATAWTTGTTCTTAAAATGTATTGACATATCAGAATCAAAATTCGATCGAGCCGATTATGAGTTTTTTAACATCTTTTGTGTATTACGGGTAATATGTCCATGTTAATAAATTTGGAAGTTATGGGGACTTTGATGGTTTGAACAATTTAGCGATTAATATTAATTTTTCAACATTAATAATTTGTGAAAAATGGTCCAAGTTTAATGRAAAATATATCCGATATTACATACTCATATATTTATTTCATATTTTTATTAAACTATTTTTAAGGACTATTATATAGATATTTTAATAAACGAGAAACTACTAGTTAGAATTTTCAAATAGATTAATATTATAATTCCACCGTGCACTATGAAAGGATTTTTCAAGATTTTGATTTTAAGGGACTGAAATCGGCAAAAATAAATGTTTASGTGTAAATTGTTTATCTACATACATATTGTATTTTTATATTACAAAACGTCAATTATTATTTATAAATGCTATAATGTTATCTCAACTGTAATTTATTTTACACATTTTTTATAAATATTAYCATCGAAGTATATTTTTGTGAATTCCGCCCGATCGCACGAAATACGTCTTGAACCTGTTTATTTCAAAATAATTTTTTATTAAAATCACGGATATTTTGTWATTACAAAATATTATTGGACTCTTTCAAGCAAAAAGAAAAAAGAAAAATGGAATACAGATCAGCGAATTCAGTACTGGAAGTAGATGATGCGGTTTATCGTCTAGTTGAATCACTCAATCCGCTCAACCCTCCT